CAGCAGGCTCTGCACTGCCCACCTTCTCCTTAAGGGCTCAGCCCCTGTCCCAGGTACCCCTCTGCTTTCAGGGACCCTCATCTCACCCTCACAGCACTTCAGCTCGTGTTCTCAGGCCCAAACAGGTCTCATAGCCAGCAGCTGTGGCCATGATCCGCTGGTGAAGGACAAGCTTCAGAGCCTTGAGGGAAGCCTGTTCTGTAAATCTCCAGCAGCTGCATTCCCAGCAAGGTTCAGGTATGCCCTACACACAGTACAGAGCAAATCTGACCATTCCTGAGCTCTGCCACAGAGCACACGACATTCCTGCTCAGCCTCAGCTGCCTTAGGCTCCATGGATGGCCAGGCTTGATTAGCAGTAATGCTAATAATTAAATCTGTACAAGGTGGGAAACTTCACTTCCTGATCTGCCTCAAGGTAAAATGTATCCTTATTCTCCTCCCATTTTCTATCTGGGAGCACCGCTGGTGTGAGAAGGGCTGGTTTGGCTCTGCTCCCTGCCACACACACGGCACAGCTGTGGGACAGCAGGACACAGCAGCTGTCACCACCTGTGGCCTTCACAAGAGCCACAGGCACATCCAGGCTAAATTACCCATATCTGACCCAAACATAAAAACCCAGTAAGAAACAAACATTTTTGGAGTACACAAGAAGGAAGTGAAATCAGAACTGATCAGAAAAATACACTGACCCACATATATATACACACACACATATACATCTCCAACCTCTAGCCATAATGAGCTGAGAAACTGTGAGTTAAAACCAATGAGGCTCAAACATCATGAGACAACATTCAAACAGTAAGGGGATTTCAGTTCAAGAAGGCAGCTCTCATATCATCAGTGTATCTGACCTTTCTTTGCCAGCCCTAACAATCTCAGAGTGATCTCTACTGAGGATGCAGAGAAATTGTTGAGGCACACCTCCCTGTCTGATGATGGCAGAGTCAGCAGCACCTGCAGCCACTTAGTGCTGCTCACAAACTGCACTCCCACTCAATCACAGCTCCATGACCCCTCCTGCCCCCAGGGAAGAAGGGATGTCCTCACTGTGACTGAGTAAAACACGGTGCAGGAAACAGGTGCATGGAGTTCATGTTGCTGCACTCCTCTGAGCTCAGTAACTTCTCATTGTAAAGGATGAAGAGACAAGAGCCTGTCATTAGGAAAAAGCACGTGCTTATAACTATAACTGGCTGCTCCAGTGGATTCATTATTCCATTATTATCCACACTACAGTATGATTGTGTCATTGGTAAGACATCAGACCCACAGTAGTAATTTCTGTTACAGGATGCCTTAAAATGCAAATATATCCCATAACAACTATGAGTATGTCTATGAGTAAAACTCAGACAACAACACTACACAAATAATTTCAAAGACTTTTTGAAACAATTCAGAAGAAAAACAGTTGCCTTTCAGAAGAATTATAACTGTATTTGGAATTTACTCTGAATTGCTCTGTGAACAGAAGAACTCACAGGTTCTTGTGGAGAGCATTTTGCTTCACTTTCCATTGTACCATTCACTGTGATAAAACCTCTGTGAAAAAACAGACACTCACATAAAAGCAAGTATCTTCTGAAAAGATGTTTCTCCCAGCTTGCATTAAAAACTCCACACCAACAAGCTATTAATCTTCCATGCCCTTGAGGCTTATTAGACACTCTAAATAATTGAGGAAAGTAACAAAAACTATACTCCTTATACTGTTTCAAATGTTAGGGCTAATAAATCCCAAATTCCTGTACAATTTGTCAGGAAAATTATTCCACAAACACCAGAGGTTTATGTCCAAAAAGGAGACAGGAGAGTCCTGTAACTTTATTTGAATAAAGGGAGAGGCCATGGGGCATTTTCCCTGGGGTCTCTCAAAGTCTTGGAGCACACAGCCTCCTTTGTATCCCAATTTCCCGGACACACGTCCCTCTCTCGGGGACACTGAGAGGTACAGACTTCCCAAAACATCTAATCCCCAAGACCCCTTTCTAATGTATAACCCCACACTTTTTCTTGAGTTCATCAGTGGAATTCCTATGGAATTTATGGTTCTTCCCATTGTTTGTATCCTCTCTCAGTATCCAATTTAATTGATCAGCAGACCCACAGTTTGTTTGTAAAGACAAATCCCTCTAATTCCATTCATCCATCGGTGGAATCTTTCCCACTGTTTCTTTTGTTTCACTCTGCTAGTTTCATCCACTAGCAGACCCACAGTTTGTTTGTAAAGACAAGTCCCTCACTCTTTCCAAGTTCAAGCACAGCTCCCAAAGAACAAATGCAGAACCTACAGAGAATTTGGGCAGCCAAGTCCTTGGCAATGTTTAAGCTCAGCATTTACCAGGCAGGGCACGTCCACCACCAGCACCAGGGGACCCTGGACGTCACCAGCGCAGCTTCCTGAGGAGGACCTGGGGAGGTGGCACTTCCCGGGTGAGGTGTCCCAGAGGCAATGCAGCTCCTGCTGGCAGCACTCAGGCAGGAAGAAGCTTTAAGGCAAGTGATGAAGCCAATGAGAGAGCCATCTCCAGCAAAACAAAGCCTTTGGAGCAGCTGACCAGTGCAGCTGCTGAGAGGGAGCACCGAGGGATGCAATGGCAGCGAGGAGGCCACGCTTGGGAGTCACACACCGGGAGCACCGATGGAGCAGAGCTCGCCCTGTGTGGATGGTGGGCAGGGAAAAGCTTCACTCACCTACAAGCTGTGGCACAGAGGCTCTGGAGCTCACTCAGCACAGGCCCCAAGCCAGGAGGGCACTCACAAACACCCTGCGGTATTGCACAGAGCACCCCTTGCCCGTGGAGTACAGCAGCGTTGCCAAGGAGAGCAAGGAAATCACAACCCTTAAATTGTGCTACGGTAACAAATGGCTGTCATCATCTTTACGGCTCATTCAATTCCCAGGCCTGGCTTATTGCAGCTACTAATAGAAAAGCCAAAAAGACACTGATAAATCAGCACTGTTTCCTGGTTCTGTCGTCTCTTCTTCGGCGAGTTAGAGCTGTGAAATAAAGTAATTGACATCTGATAATCTTCTCATTGAAAAACTTATTTAACACAGTCTCAGTAACAGCCATAAACTATTCTCAGTGAGAGTGCTTCCTTTCAGCAATAATTGTATAAGATCAAGGGCTCTAAGAGAAACTAAAAACTTTTCATTCCCTCCTGTTATGTAACCTCATATCTTTAAATCTTTTGTATTTTTCCTTTCTGCTTCATTGTCTTTGCCCCCTTGTGCAGTCACTGAGTTCTGCAGCAAATGATATGACATTTTCCCTTACTGTCATATTTCAATAGCTGCTTTCTGATTTTCTCAAGTCAGTGGGGTGGGTTATATATTATTCTTTTCCACCTATTGCACATTACGTACCCTTAAAACCGTGGTTATTTCTGAAGTAGAGAAGATCATCACAAGTTTGTTTCAATAGTCTAAGAATTTAAGACCATTTGACTCAAAATCTTGTAGTTTCACAGCAGACGGGAAAGCGTTCCTGGGACAAACCCAGAGTAATTCTCTGGACTAATACTGAATGCTGTTGACCACATCTGCATCCTGCCAGGTGCTCTGGGTAGAATCAAAGAACCATTCATGTCAGAAAAGCCCTTCAAGGTCATTAAGAAGTCCAACCATTAGAGAAGGAGGCCTTCCCATATAAAACTTTCAGCCACTTAACAGCAAACCCAGACCCACCCTAGAACAGACATTGCAAGAGAAATCCGCTACAGCAAAGTACCAAAGGCTTACGTTCCCAGCTAACCAGAGCTGAAGAAATCTCACTCTCTAACCCAGTGTAAAGCACTTCCAGAGAAGTTCCATTAAGGCTGCATTCAACAGCATTTTGAGTAAAAATTTTATAGCACCTTTCTGTGGTATAAGGCCTGAAAGCACAACTTGACTTTAATAAAGCATCTGTAAACCCCCAATAAATAAAGAGAGATATCAAAAAGTACAATACCTGTGAGATGAAAAAAAAAATAGGATATGCATAGATTATTTTAGTCCCTACACTACATTATCCTAAAGACAATTAAGTAAGACAAAGCAAACAAACAGCCTCATTAGAACAGCTTTAGACTGTATTAACTGCTATGACTTACAGAACTGAAAGGAATTCCAGCTTCCCAAAAAGGGAACAAATATCTGTATCACACAATTGTTCTCTCAATGTGCTTGATGAATCATCCTGAGGTATCTTTAGAAAAGAACATTATGCCTACAGAAAATGTTTACAGATGAAAAGCATGAGATTAGCATTGTGTACCCATATTAACAGTATTGAGTCTCCACTGTTTCAACATTTACCTGCCAGACATAACAAGTGTCAAATCCATTCTTTGAATCTAAAAGAAAAATCACTTTCAAAACGCAAACTACGTTCCTTTTCTAACGACTCACAGCTACAAGCATGTCAGACAACCAGATTTCTGGATTTACACAACACTCCTGTCTTCCCAATATAGCAATTTAGTCATTCTAACACTTGGAAATCGGTGCTCTTCTCCTCTTCTGGTGTCAACACCCTACTTGAAAACAACACTAACAGATTGCTTACCTTTTAAAAAACAATTATTTAAATCGTTGCATTCTGCGGGAACAGAGATTACATTTTCAAACTCTAGTCTAGAAGTGGCATTATGAAGAAATTCTTGTTTCTGGCACATAAAGGATTGTCTGTTGTGAACCAGTGACAGCTCACAACAAGCATAAAATAACCCAAACACGTACAGTTTATTTGTGGTATGGCATTTTCCACAGACTTCATATACACCATATAACACAACTCATCCTGGGGATGTGTATTTAGCTTTTGCTTAGATTTCTGGAGGAAAAACTTTCTCCAGAAAGTTCTCAGCAAACTGAGTCCCTTCCAGCCTTTTAAAGAGCACGTAGCGAAACGCTAAAGCGTGCTTTAATTGTTGGTTGAACACTTATCTCCCCAAGCAGGAGGTGCTGAGGCAGCCCCCAGCAGGTTCCTGTGCTGGTTACTCACGGAGCAGAGGTACTGGGCCAGCAGGTGCTGCAGGGCCTGGCGGATGGCGCTGCACTCGGCGATGATGCGCTCGCGGTGCGAGTCCCGCGTGCACGAGGAGTCGGCCAGCAGTGCCGCCCCGCTGATGATCGCCTCCAGCCGCTGCTCCAGGGAGGGCCTCACCTTCTCGTCCTTCACCACCAGAGGATCCAGGGCTATCAAATTCTGCACAAAACGAGGAGTACAGCTGTCTCATTAAGGACTTTTGGGTTAGGTTCTTTTTCCCTTTGGACTGAAGATTGACGAGAGGGAGGCAGTTTTCTCTCGTTCGGTCTCAGTTGTTTATTCTTTTCTTATCAACATTACAGGGTACAAGGAGCTATGTGCACTATGATAGAAAAGGGTAAAATGGCCAACAAAGATCCTCTTCAAGGTCTTTCATATGTCCATTTAGCCAATTAACAGATGCCAACTAAATAATTTTTCTTAGTGACACAATGACCCCACACATGTGTGGTGCACTGCGACATTTTTCATCCAATCACTTAGTACTACCCAAAAACCCCTAGGAAAGAACATGAAGAAGAAAGAAGAAGGACAAGAGATAACACCCTAAATCCTCCATCTTGTCTCCTGTTCTCTAAACTACTTTTTCACCCAGTGATTTAAGAAACTTTCTAATCTACACCCTTACACTTTTTCTATCTAACTTTAACATTTGTTCTCATGTATCACCATGAAAACATGCTCATGAATTCCATGTCATATGAAATTCAGTGTTTCTTCAAATCCTAGAACTAAGTATTAGAAACAAGGGCACACACTCTGTATCTCAGACTCCAACATACAGCTAAGAAAGTCAGTTCAGTGAAGCTGCTGCCGTGTTTTTTACCTGCAGGAGATGCAGTGATATCACGGTTCCCAGATGTGCCACTAGCCCTTTCCACTGGAAGCATCCAAACTACTTTTGACCATGACAGGTTCCCTTTTCCCTAATGGGGCTCACAGAGGACATTTGTACCCAAACAGTGTTTTGGTCTCTCTGCCATTCAGAGCCTCAGACCAGAGCTCAAGCTTTGTTTGAAACAGGGGTTCAGTGCCTATAAACTTCAGTCTTTTAGAGATCAGGAGAATCACTGGATTTAACTCAGAGCCAGCAGTGCTCAGCTCACAGCTGAGAAAGTTAAGTCAGATTGCATGAGCAGTCTAATTCTGCTGATTTTTAGTCTAATCAATCCCACACTGTGGCAGAAGTTCACCGCTGCCACTTTTAACAGGCTGAATATAGACAGATAAAAACTGCAGCTTTTGTTTAAGGACATAAATAAAGTGTCCAAAGGACATAGATAGAAGTGTCCTTTTGCTTTTCAGTAGGTAGGGTAAACAAAAGCAGACAACTCTTTTGCCTTGATAAAATTAATTACGTTTGGGTTGTAAACAAATATTCTAAAGAGAAAGAAAAGGAAACAGGAGGTTTTCATGAAATGTCAAAGTAAGTATATTTGAGCTTCAGCATTTGAAGAAACACAAAATGTAATCACTGATGTAACTGAACATCTGAAATGGTGTCATTATAGGCCTGATCCCCAAACCTACACTCCACATACATCTGTTCACCTCTTACATCACATCCATGGGTGATTTCAAGCTCTTAGAACAAATATTAAACAAGAAAACGATACCCTGACGTGGAATTTAGGTGATCAGAACTGATCTGCGCTTATCTAGTATGTGCCAGACAAACTGTAAACTGGAGGATTTTAATTATATTTTTTCAATTTAGATTTAATAGGACAATTTCAGGGCCTGTCTAGCTTAAGCTAGAAACAAAAGTGTTGTATTAGAACATAATACAAAAGCTTAAACAGTGAGGCACGGAGACTTGAGTGACAAGCGTGTGCTGGAGATCTGAAACTCTGCCTCCCTCATTCCTGTTAGAGTCCTGAACACCAAGGTGTTGTGGGGTACTCACATCTGCTCAAGCTGTGCCACATGGTCACTCTTCAGGGCAGCAGCAGCTTCCCTTCAAGCTCCTGTATCTCAAGCAGCCCCCTCAATGCCAAGCTACACATATGGTGCCCACCCTAATGCAAAACACACCTGGCAGGCACGGTACTCAACGCCGCTGCAGAAAAAACACCTTCATTGACTGGGGAAGACTCAGACACACCTGGTGGCCACAGCAAATTATCCAGTCAGCTGGAAAAATGACCGCCTTCAAACCTCAGCTGACCCAAAACAGAAATGTCCTCCTTCGGGAACCAGTTTGGAGAAAGTTTACAGCAAGAAGGACAAATAGCACTGGCCAAAAAGCTACTATGGTCCATCTCTGAATAAAAAAAATCTAGGCAATAACAGCCAGGAAAATATGAGTTCAGACTCTGCCCTACAGCTTAAATTCTTCAAATAATTTCTTCACTTATTCATCATCAATACATCTACACAGGAAAGACTCAAGAAGACATCAGACACACAAGAAGCAGTCTCTTGGTGGGTTTGATTTAACAGGCTAAACAGTGGTCAGTTATTCTTAAGTAGCTTAAAGACTCAAGCATAAGGGAGCACTTCAGGGGAGAGATTCGATCCCTGTGTTCTCCCTCACTGGTACACAGAAACTCAGCTGGATTTGGTGAAGTCTGGAGGGACTTCCAGCCTGTTGGTGTCTCACACGAAGCTGCTCAGCTCAATGGCCACGGTCAGCCAAGGACCACAGAGCAGCTGAACACGCTGCCAGAGATTCAGGCAGGCAGGACCTGCTCATTTTGTGAGAATCTCTTTGCATTCACAAGACGAAAGCCCAAGGAAAGGCATTAGATAACCTGCACCCAACACGCTCTTTTAGAGGATCTTAATATGCAATTAAATTTTAAAGTTATAAATTTGTGTTTATTTACAAATGACACGGTAGTTATAGGGAGCCTTTAAGAGGAATTGTTGAGAATCTAGTGATTTAAGAGTCAGCTGCTCTAATTTTACTGGTGGTTTCCTCACCTATAAATCTTTAATAACTTTCACGGTGCCAGCACTGGCAAAGGAAGAATGATATTGCAAAACATCTAGATACTAGATTGTTGGGTAAGCTCCGAGATACATTTCCACGCTATAAACATTTAATGAGATTTGTTCCCACCAGACTATTTACTGCATCAATCTATTTCATGGCACTGTATTCTCAACAAGAAGATAGAACAAAGGTTATTTCAGGTCCTTAGCCAATGGAACTTTCTGTAAAGCGAGAAAAGTGTCATCATCTAATTCATAAAATCATTTCAGAAGTTAAATGCTCTATAAATTGTGCTTTATCTAACTCACACAGCTTCAATTCCCATTTGTGTAACCTAGGTAAAAATATATTTACAACTTGATAAACAAATGGCTTTTTACAACCGTCAGACTTCTATGTTCTTACATTTCCAAGTAAAAACAAATTCAATTCAAAATGTGATTTTTTCCCATTTTGTGATTATCACAAATTTCAAATTTTAGAGCAGTAATAAATGTTATTGCATTTTGAAATAGTGCTGCTTACATAGAGTCAAGATTAAAATAAAAATATATAAATAATAAAAATACAATCCTTCTGACATTTTTTTTTTTTTTTAATTTTTAAGTAATCCAGGTAAATAGTGGGTCTCTTATAAGGCATCCCATTTGTCATTCACAGTTACACTATAACAAGTCATGTATTAGTCTCACATGTTTCTTTTCCCTTCCATTTATTAGGAAAATAGACTAGGAATTGTAAATTTAAAACCTGTTGTGAGAAGCGAGAACGGATGGCACGTAACGTGCAATTGTAGCCTGTTCCTTTGGGAGGAAAAACCTGACTTTGAACATGACTGAGAGGATCAATAAACTGCCACTACAGAATTTGTGGCATATTTCAATGTATTTCTTTAATTTTCCATTGAAAATTTTAGGTAAAAATCTTCTACCACCAGTCCTAACATCAATTTTCCTCAAAATGTATCACAGTCTTAGCGCTGGGATGCAGAGATCTGCTAAGTCCAAGAATTCACAATCAAAACCACCCATATTTGCAATTGTCTTTAGAAACATTCATTCCTTTTGTTGATCTGGGCCTACATCAGTTACACCCCATGAGGATCAGGGTCTCACCTACAGGAGATCTTTTACCACTTGGGGCAGGACAACGGAAAATTACACTGGTGGGAGCCAGAGCATGAAAAAAAAGAGAAATTCCACAGAAAAGCTTTGGATGAGGAACAGAAAAAGTGCTGCCTTCCCCCAGGTATTTGCTTCAATAATGGAAGCAGGGATGCAGAGGTGGTGGAAGCATATTGGCTGTGTCACTTCATTTAATGATAAGCAGCAAATATAATGAGGTTTGTGAATTGCTCGATGACACGAATTACAGGATGATCCCAGCGCCACATTCTGCAGACAAGGACTCCAGCCTGCATGGAGCAGCTCCAGTGGGCACTGCCAGCTGAGAATCACTTCAGAGCAAACTGAACTGAACTGCTGGGCTCTGCCCTGACTGCAGGATGTGACACAACTGCAGCTAACTCTGCCCTGGGCTCGAAGGGAGCCAAACCCTGAACACACATGAAGCCTCAGCTCCAAACTCCTCTGAGGAAAGAGATTCCTCTCAATGAAATCATTCCAAGTGATGCTATTTAGACTAGGACTAAGCAGAAAAACAAGCCTTAATGCCTTTAGGCTCATCATTTATGATATCAATAGTTATTTTTTAAAAAATAAATAAAGCTTTTTTCCCAAAAATATTGTAATCTCACATATTTACATACCTCAAGCTCATCAAGTGCACTTCCAAGAGTAGCTGTGCGAGATGCAGGTTGCTCCACTTTATTTCCAACTCCTTGGGAAGCATTAGAAATTACATTGAGAGCATTCTGTATTTCATTGCAAATTGAATCCTTGCTGGCTGTAAGGGATGCAACATCTGAATGTTCCAAACAAGCTGAACATATTGAATGTAGGAAAGCAGAATTTTCCTTCAGGGATGCACGTGCTGCAGCAATTTCATCTCGCTGATTGCTAGATTTCAAATCCTGTCAGCAAAAGAACATGCTGTTTATTTCCAAAAGCACTCCAAAACTGACAAGTATAAACATTTTTTCATTTCTATCTCTACTCTGCTTAAGGAAACATCAAGTTAAATTCATCAAAGTTTGTGAAAATGGACTGTAAGGATAGTTACAATTGAATCATCATTACCCCATGAGGAAGGAACAAAGTATGTGTAAAAGAACCACAATTTTTAGTGTCTTACAACCAGCACCATGAACTGTCTGTGGTTTTTTTGTTTTTAAGAAGTTTTCCTCTGAGAAGCTGCCCTGGAAATTAGCAGCCTTTCCTCCTGGCCACGTCTTTCTGCAGCAGCAACAGAGAAGGACAGAGGTGCCTGAGGAGTCAGGGCACTCTGCAAGGGCTGCATCTGAACACATTTCTGTGCTGCTTTCCCTGCCCCAGCAGCCTCTGTCTCCAGCACTCTGCAGAAAGGAACAGCAGGTCAGGGATAGCAACCCTGCTCCTGCACTGAAGGGGAAGCATGGAAGCCACCTTGAGGTGCCACTGCCTGCTTCCCTCTGTCCCTGCTGTGTACACACTTAAAGCATTCAGGGATCTTACCTCATCCTATTTTATTATTGACATTTTACCCTGCTCCTCCTGCATCGTGTCCCTCTGAAAAGAAAACTGATAGATATTTGTGAAATGGCTTGGGTGAAGGAGACAGTTAAATTTGGGGGAAAAATAAAAAAAGGGAAAATAGCACATCTGAGCCTGTGGCACCAGATTCAAATGATGAGAAGAGGCACAATGAAGGATGAACAAGTAAATGCATACAAAACTTCTCACAGCCTGCCCACAGGCAATCTGAAGTCTAATTATTTTCCTTTGCATTGCATCAGGATCTATATGCATTATTTACAAAAGCATCACAGTAACCACTTCTCACTGCATCAAGTTTTTAAGTTTATGGCTGAAGAGCATTTGATAGTAAATGAATCAGTCCTGTATTTTTAAAATCTCATTTACTCCAAGATATGCTTTGGACATAGGATTGCATCTTACTTCCTCAGGATAACTTGGAAATCTCGGGGATACAGTAACAAAAAACCAAAAGCAAAGCAAATGAAAGAGATGTAGTCTTAAGAAGGAGTAGACAACAGTTTAACCAACTGATCATGTGAATCAGAAAACTCTTTTCTTGAGTGTATTAACACGTAACGTGTTTTTAAATTTTTAATAAACAAATATATAAATGAATCACCACTGTGCATGAATGATTTTATTGCCCAGTGTGTTCAAAGCCAAATACTACTGCATCTCCAACCTCAGTGAAGCAGCTGTGATTTGTCCAGTGCACTGGGGCCTTGTTCAGAAAAGAAATGTTATTTAAACACTGACTCCGGCTCTAATTAGCGAATCTATCTTTCCTGCAATTATTACAAGACAGCAGACTGCCCTCTTTTCTCCTGTGCTACAAGGAAGCCACAGACCCAGAGATGCAATGGAAAGTCAATGCTCTAACACTTCAGCCTAACTTGCTTCTATTATTAACCATTTCTTACTTTGCCACATCACAGGCAAACAACCAAACCCAAAAGCCTTTAAAAATCATTTTCCCCTGTAATACAGTACTGTCTAATCAGGGCTGAGGGGTTCACAAGAAAACCAAAACTGGTAAGCCAGAAGCACAAAGCCCGTACCAGCAGTCAGTAACAAAGTCTGCAAGGTTCAGTAAGTTAATGGTTTTGTTTCACACAGTACTGTGGAGAGATTCAGAGTCATGGCATAGATAAATTATCCTACAAAGAGGCCCAGTTTTCTTCAGTAACATGTTAAAATAAAAAAAAAAGCTCAGACCAATGAAATTCATCACTGCTTTGTTGTTTAGCTGTGAGCTTGGAGAACCCCCAAAGAAGCTGTAGAGCCATTACTCCTTTCCATATTGAGGAAGAATTTATTCCCTGAGATTTTTTTTGTGTGAAAAAGAAGAAACATCTGATAATCTTAGTCTGATCTTTTGCATAAATGGACCAAAAAAAACCCTTGAGATTGAGTGAATCTGCTATCAAAGCTATGCATATGTGGATTATCAGAACAATGAACTAGTTCTTTGAAGGAGGAAGTTAGTCTCTACAAATATCTGCAGTTCACAGGTATTTGTAGACAAATATTTGCTCACAAATGTTCTGCAGCTACTTGACTGCACTTCAGGCTATTTTTTTTTTCTTCATGGTTTAGCACTTTCTTCTTATTCCAACTTCTTTTTTTCTTCTACCATGTGTTTTTCCACACTAAATCATGTTAAGTCATGTGAGACCAGCTGAGATTAAAGATAATCCCATCTCCAACCCCTGCCAATCCAAGAGACCCACTATAGTAACATTTCCCCAGGCTGCTGTCCCAGTCCTTCCAGGACATACTTCTGTGTCTTCCTTATATCTGGTTGTCCATGACAAGAATGGAAAATAAATGGATAATCAGAGATTCCCAGCTGTTGATTGTTCCAGCTAAACCCAGTGAATGGACAAGAAGACTTTCAAGAACTTGAAAACTACCTTCATTGTTAAGCTTTGATTACACTACTTCAATAAGGAGAAAAAAAAAGAGGAAAAAAGAAATCTGTTCTTTATCCCATATAATACATCTAAGGTTTGACAGCCCAATCCAGCTCCTGTTCACTGAGCATTCCCATCAGCACAGCTCACAGGGGCTGGCATCACCATGGGTCCAAATCACGCTGCTGTGTTTTGCACCAGCTGTAGTTTCAAAGCGCACTGCAGTAGCCAGGCTGCTCTCTGCAGAGCCAGGTGTTACCAACCTGAGCTCTGTATCCAGGGAAAACACAGGCACACTAACCCCCACAGCTTCATACTGCTACAGAAATAGGGGACAAAAGCAGTAGTTTTTATCACAGCTTAAACCTGGGCTTTAGCATTCAGCTTTCAATCAGAAGTGACTGCCAAATCGTGCGTAGTTGCTGATTCAAAGACCATAACAAAGCTCAAACTCTTCCAAGTGCATTCATGCACTGTTCATCTGGGCAAGGCTCCAGATGACATATTTCCTAAGTATTGTGTTGTCCTTTTCAGTGGAAGAAAGCATCTCACCAACAGAAGCAAGTGAAGAAGATCAGGGGGCGACACTGACGGGAGCTGACCCCGCGCTGTGTCAGTTCTGCCGAGGAGCGCTGCTCACCCCGGCGCTGGAGCTCACACAGATGCCGGAGCTCACACAGATGCCGGAGCTCACTCTGGCACTGGAGCTCACCCCGGCGCTGGAGCTCACACAGATGCCGGAGCTCACACAGATGCCGGAGCTCACTCTGGCACTGGAGCTCACCCCGGCGCTGGAGCTCACACAGATGCCGGAGCTCACACGGGTGCCGGAGCTCACCCCGGCGTTGGAGCACACACCGCTCAGGGCTGTGCCCAGCCTCAGCTGGGAGCTGCAGCCACACTCAGCCCAGGCCCTGCAGCCCCAGTTCCACAGGCCCGGCACCTTCAGTCCCGCTCCACAGGGGTGCCAGGCTGCGGCTCAGCACAGCCCTGCCAGTCTGAGCTGTGACCACGGCACTGTGAGTCAGCACGGGGCTCTCACCTGGTCACAGCCCAACCTCAGAGCCTGCCTTGGGGCTGCCCCGCGGCCACCGAGCTTCCTGTGGAGCTGGCTGGGCTGAGTCTGGCTGCCACAGCCGGCACTGCCCGGCTCCTGCCCGGGGATGCCCTGCCTCGGGGAGCAGCTGGGCATGGCTGCACCCCACAGAACCCTCTCCAGGTAAGCGTTTACCATCAGCAGGGATCACCTGGAGTCAGCTCCATCATAAACCTGGCCCTGCCAGCTCTACAAAATGCTCCATTTGCAAAGCTACAAACAGCATGACCTGGTGGCCCCTTTCCTCCACATGAGGCTTTTAAATACATCTGAACCAATGGCATAGACAAGTGATCATAACCACACAAAAAAGAGACACAAACAAACATTGGGGAAAACAGCTGGCAGGATAAAGGCTTTGTTAGCACAAATGAAACACCACTGGATGATAGAGCTGTACTGCACTGAGCACCAAAGGCTCCCTTGCATGCATTCACAGTTAGTTCAACACCACTCAGCTTATCCTTACCAAGCACGATCACAGTACATGCCTGACTGTGAGGAATTCCAAGCTAACATCTAATAAAAAAGTCTTACCTGGCCTTTAAACTCATTTTTTCTGACCTGAGAAATGATTGGCAGCTCTCAGTGTCTCATGGTGTCACTACACTACAGCATGTACAGAGCACAGAAACACCACATACACACACAAAATACAGACTCGGTATGGACAAAACTGCAGGCAGAGCTTGCTTGCATCACAGGCATGAATACACAAAATACGAAGTGTGTATCCATATTACCATAAACTCAGGCCTTCAGTAAACCCCTCAGTCTCTCTCTCAGAAGTCTTTATAAAAGCAGATTATTTGAGATTATTACCGAGAGCAAGCAGGGAAGGGACTCACAGGACCGAGGTTCCCAGCAGAACTTGCTCTCTGTATCCACACCTATTCATTATTCCTCTGACAGGTGTGATATATGACACCAGAGAGCAGCAAAGTTATCTTATACAAAGCCATGACTGCTTAACACCCCTGCTCCTGCCATTTATTAATGTTTTCCAGGAATTTGTTGTTCAGACAGGGAAAGATGCAGTTTCTTTTGATGATTTGGTTGCATCAGATTGCAACTACTGCACAGTATTCTGTCTCCCCCATGCTCTGGCAACTTCTAGCCCAGTTACTGATGCTGGAGCAATGCTTGCTGTCACTTCTCTATCTGCTGTTTCAGGATCTGGTCCCTGCACTCCAATACCCTGCTGTTAACTTGCAGTCTTCCTAGATGAAGTAGCTGATTTGGAAAGGTGGCAAAGCAATTTCTTCCCTATAAGAATTAATCTATTAGCTCACAAAGGTTTTCACCTAGTACAGCTACAGTCACATTTGTCACCAATGAGCTTGCCCAGAACTAGAGCAGGAACCATTCATCAAGGAGAGGGCTCAGG